CTTTGGACGCGACGTCAAAACCAAGGGTTTAGTGTAGGGTTTAGGGGGTCCCATAAGCCTACTTGTGGGCCCACGTATACAATACATAACTTAAACCCTGAAAACCCTAAAGCTACATGAACATCCCTTCCGGCAGCTCGTAAGTTGATCCAAGCCCTCAAACGCGGTTGCGGAATTGGGGGTTTCCGAAAATCAAGGCCCTGTGCATGGGGTCCCTATCATGAGAAGTATAATATGTTGGGGTATGCACTGTGACGAGAACTAGCATATAGAGGGTTTAGAAAAACCCTTGAAGTTACACGACCCAGCTTGAGAGGCCTGACGCCTAAGCCGCGGACTTTCCCTGAACTTACAGCCCAGATCTCAGCTTTTCCATTGTAATCCTGGGGGCGGTAGAAAATGACGAAGCCACTGCACTGGCTACCATGCCTTTCACAGGGCATTGGAGAATGGCATCGGGATCCCCAAAAACTGCGGTTTGAGGTTGCTGCAAAAGCTGCACCGCCGCCGCCACCGCCGCCGCCGCCACCACCACCACCACCAACAACAACAACAACAACAACAACAACAAACACGACGACGACGACGACGACGACGACGACGACGACGACGAAAGAAACGATTGGGATTGCGACTATCTTAGTTTCAGAATATCGAATATCTGGGCCATGGTGGAAGTTATGGCCCCCATTCGCAACCGCCCACGCTACCTCAAAGGCCATAAGGCGGGCTAGGCTGCAGGGCCAAGCATACTTGCTCCCCATTCTTTCAATATGAAGTACTACCAAATTCCGGCAACACTGATGTCAATTTATGTGAGCCATAGTCTGAACTCCTAGTATCCCCCTTAATAAGCCCTATAATACTCCCTTGTTATAATTCCCTCTATAACCCCCTTTAAGGAGTTTAGACTACAGTACATGTTGGGAAGTAGAAGCAATCAAACCGAGGCTGATGCGGGGTTCTGGTCATGAGGTGTTCAGAGACAGAATGTGGCCGATTTTTAAGCAGATTGGTGGTTACCTTCAGGTGTGGAAGGAGAGAGATGGGTTCATTATGCCTACATCCGAATCCCTAAACCCAGAACCCCAAACCCTCAACCCCGCCCCTTTGCGTCCTCACACCCTGAGCGCGCCAGGGCACATGTTGCAGTGCACTGCGCACTGGCTGACGCTCTTCACGGTGGTTCGCACTTCCGCGAGCCTGGGTGCCACAAATGCATGGTTTGGGTTTAGGGTTTAAAGTTTAGGGTTGAAGGTTTAGGGTTTAGGGATTTGTGTTGCGTAGTTCCGCATGAGAAGCGATTTTTTGGTGGCTGAACCGAGTAAGAAAATATCATTTGCACAAGATACTACAGCCAAAGGAGGACAGAGTCCTACCCCATATTGAATATTATTGAGGCCCGGAGTAGTCCCAAATAAAATACACTCACATGATGCCAATCTAAAGCATCAAAGTGCGCGATCCGGATGATCCCTATCATCAGGCATGCGAAAAAACCGCTCCACTAAAGCTCCACACCCTAATCCTTATAACAACCAATATAGAATCCAAGTTTCCATCTTATTTTCAATTTTGTTGTCCATTTGCTTCTCCACAATTTCCCCAAACCCTAAATATCACAGTTTCCATTTCATTTTCCACGTTGTTGCACTTTGACTCTCCATTATCTGGGCCCCTAAAACCTTGAGCAATCTCAGCAAACCCTCCTTTAAACCCTTGATCTGGAGCAGGCCGGAAGCCCCTGAGTTAAAGTTCAGATGGTTCCTCAGAGCCCTAGGGATAAAGGGATGTTGGAGGTCCTTACTCGGGACTACACAGGGGCTGTAATGGGAAATCCCCAAATAAATTCTGGCCATGCTATGGTTCACGAATGGTCGAGAGGAGCCCGAGGAAGGTCTTGGTTAATTATCGGAATGGTGACGACGACCACCTTTTCCCAATGAGACTCTTAAACCTAAACCCTAAGCCCCTAAGCCCTAAATCCTAAACCCTAGAGCAAAGCAGGTGCCTACAACGACACCTCAGGCACGGACCGAGGCAACAATGTTCAAGGCTTAGGGTTGAGGGTTCGGGGTGACCAAACAATAAATGAACCGCATGACCCAAGGATTCGAACAAGAAGCCGTTGCTAGGGATATCTCATCCAATCTCATTTCCATCAAACAATGAAAATGAAAACGATACCAATGAAAGAAACCTGAAAACCTGGGACCTTTCCGCCGAACAGGAATTGTTACCACAATGGGTAGTGGGAGTTCTACTAGCCGCAGAACAAAACCCGTTTAAGGTCGGGTACTACAAGGTTGAATGACCTAAAGAACTACCAATATAATCCCAGTCTCCATTTCCCATTTCTTTTTGCCTTTGATTGTCCACTATTGGGGTAAAATCCCTCTGTAATCCCAACATATTCCCTGCATGTACTCTAAACCGGGTGGATCCCTGAGGAGGTCCGGCAATGACGAACAGGAGGAGACACCCAGCCGAAGTAGCCCCGCGATGTTCGAAACCTGGGGATTCGGCTGAAGGTGTTTAGGGTTTAGTGGTTAGGGGGGTCAAGGTATTGAGGTTTGGGGATGTTTGGGCTAGAGTTTGAAGGCTTCGGGTTAGGGTTTGGGTTTCGGCATGGAGGAGAAAGCTTTTTTCCTTTAGCTTATTGAGGCGTATGGAGGCCACCAAGCACATAAAGGAAGAATGAAACATCCTTGGTGCCTACCATCCTGCTGGTGTGTCTCGCAATCCATTCATTCTCACTGCTTACATTAAACATCCCCCGCCCCTTACTTTCAACATTCCCCACTGGAAACCTTAACTTACGTACCCTCGGGATCCAAGTGTAGAGATATTCCATACTTTGCTTTTGGGTTATCTACGTACTCCCACAGAACTAGAGCTTCTGGAATAACTCCTGAGGGTTATACTACCTGAGAAAATGGGAGTGTATGTCCACAAACATAAGCAAGGTTCCTCTTATGGACTCATTTAGGAAACCCAGAAGAACCTACTTTGTATCCAGAAGGTCAGATATCGCGTGGGTTCTAGACAACGGGCGTCCTCGCTGAAACTTGCATTTGCATTGCTAACTCAGGGAAGGCCCGTTGTCTCAGCCGATTCCGTTGAACAACTCGTTACTTCCTCCCCAGTTCCACCACGGTTCTTATCACAGTACTGGCCTCAGCTCCTTGCTGATACACCTGCCAAAGAAAGCGCCGTAACATGCTGAGTTCTTGTCTCATCTGCAAACTGTAGAAACAGATACTCTGGATATTTCGAACGTATGATCTGGCCCAAAACTGTCCGCAGTTCGGCAACCTTCGTCACGTACTGCTCGAAATCTTTACCAGTGGCTGTCCACCACGGTGGCCATCACTATACTATACTATACTATACCATACTATACTATACTATACCATAATATACTATACTATACTATACCATAATATACCATACTATACCATAATAATCTATAATTTACCCATAAGACAAATCTGCAGACCGTCTCAAAGCGGATTCAAGGTATTGGTTAGAGCATTGGTTGGGTATCGGCGTTGGCGTTGGCCCGCTTAGGAAGCCAGATGTTGTAGAAATCGGTGCTCCTCATCACAAACGGCTGTCTCAAGCCTATGAAGAAGCTCTGCACAACATACGCATGCTCGTGAGCAGGCTGAGGCGCTTTTCCTGGAGTATACTGCCTACTTTGTATGGTGTTGAGCTGATCTTGGCGTATCGGCTTGGCATCGGTCATCCCAGTGAAAATACATTTCGGCCGAGCTGAAATCATTAGAGCCCCCTGGAACCTACGGCCGCCCAGAAAATTCAAGCCATGACAAATCTACAGCGTGCCCCTTTTATAATCTCTACACACGGGGCTTTCGCTCAAGTTCATGTAGGGTCTATACAGGGCCTGTGTTGGGAATGAAGGAGTCGGAGGGTGAGACTGAGGATGATCTTCAGGGCCGCATCAGAAACAGTTGTTCTGTAGTACATGCTACTCAGTAATATAACAAAGGCATAGTCAGACCCCGCCAATGATGAACATTCACCCGCTATGCAACGGTAAAACTATGTTTCGAAATTTGACTATGAAACGGCGTGCGGCGGTTACATCAGGCTGGGGGGTGGGGGGGCGAGATTAAAGGCGAGATTAAAATGCCTTCAGGGCATTGCGATTGATTGCGATTGATGATTGGACTCCACAAAAGCTTCCTTCTGGGTTGCGCAGAAAGTGTACAAGAAGCCAAGCCAAGACATTGTAATACTTGCTTGGCCTGATATCTGAAAGCAATGTTTGACATGAATCTCCGGATGGTTTGAGTAGGCTAGGTTGCCTTGCTGGAGTTGCGAATTGGTTCCACAGATGGCTTGTGAAAAAAAATCTGTGGGCCTTCGCTAGATGCATACTTTTGAAGGGAAGCGTGTCCAGAAGCTTACTACAACACCTGTCCCCCTTGGTGTATTCAAGAGTTTGATCGCATCTACAAAGCTCACGGTGCCGCTGGGGTTCATTGCTTCTATCTAAGACCCTCTTGGGATCGTTAAGAACCCAATGAGGTGCCTTGTCAGACTTGCTTGCGCTCAAGTGGGCATGAGCGTTTGAGACTTTTGTTGAGACCTGACCCCCGGGGTGCCCCGTGCCATTCAACTGGGTTGCTGTTAAGGAACTTAAGCTAATGTACCAAAAAAAAGAGGAACCCTGTATTTACTAAGTACCAATTTTACGGTTCCTTACTTCAAGCTCCTTAACAGCAACCCAGTCAAAGATGTGAAGATGTTTGATCTCCCAGAACACGCCCATTAAACCCCACTAGCCACCAGTCAATTGTCAACGGTCCGTATCATCGCTCAACCCTATCTATATCTCTATGTATATATATCCCCCCGAACCCTTGACCGCATGCTGGAAGGCTCATCAGTGATCAGTGGAGGCAATCAAGCAATCTAAATTATGCCCAACCTGCCGGCCAAAGAGGACAGTCTGCTGTGCAGGAAAAAGGAACAGTTCACGTGCGCGAACTCCGTGTACCCTGCCGAGTCTTATCAGTCATAAACATGTTGCTCGGGTGACACAGACCTTTCGTGTGCTCAAAAGTTGGTCTGTGGTACGCACCAACCTGTCATCTCATTGAAACACCTACGTGTTCTTTACTGTTCAGGAAGTGTCACACATCTGCGTGCTTCCAAGTCAAAAGGAATACAGATTTGTGCCGTTCGCTTTAAAAGCAACGATCCTGAGCTTGTGCGCCAAACTGTGTCCACTTACAACGCCCCCAACCCCTAAAGCTCGATCTACTTGTTGCTGACATTAACATGATGCCACAGTATGGGTTCAGGGCTGAAGGGCGCGGAACCAAATTCAGCCCTACCTTAGACTAAGTCAGTTTCAGGGCTGAATGAAAGAGCAACCCTAAAGCCCCAGGCCCCAAACCCTCAAGCCCTAAGCCCTAAACCCAAAACCCTAAACCCTTAGTAGTGTCCAGTCTCTCTTCCACTATCCCCTATATAACCCGAATAAACCCTAAACCCTAAACCCAAAACCCTTAGTAGTTTCCATGTTCTTTCGAATTACCCGCTATATAGTATACTGCAATATGTAGTAGCAACCCTACATCCTTCACCATGTTCGAGGATCCCCAGGCTGATGCCTTTTTGGGCGGATCAAGCATAAGGCCTATTGCACTAGAGTGCTTCCAGATGCTAGGTTATAAGGGTTTAGGGTTTAGGGCTTAGGGTCTAGGGCTTAGGGTTTAGGGTTTAGGGTCCAGGGTTCGAGGAACCATCCTATGTTGTTGGTTGTCTTTGGTGTGGGTACACCCATGGTCATCTGTAATTATCCTTTCTTGTTGTCTTGTTACCACACTGTGAGAGCCTTCAGAATGCTGGTCGACGTTAAACCCTAGGGATCCAAATAGCCAAAAGTAGGAATTCTCTATAGACTTTATAGGCCCCAGGGTATGGAATATCTATAGACTTGTAGCTCGAGGAAAACTTCAGTATCGCACTTGCGAAAGCTAGTGCCTTCGAAATGTCACAAACCCTCCTTTCCCTTTGAGCTTTTCAAAGTCCCTGGCAATCCTTCAGCACAACTTTTCCAACACCCTCAAGGAGCACGGGAAGCTGAACCCTTAAACCCCAGATCGTAGACCCTGCCCCTTGCCCTGAAGCTAAACTTGTGCATACCATGCTAGGTGCAGACTGTGCCTGGGACAATGTGCGCGCTATCAACTTCAGCCTGGTTGCCAATGTCCGAGCCCAGGGTTTGAGAGGTTTTGGGTTCAGGGGTTCAGGGTGAAGGGTCTCGGGGTGAGGGTTCAAGGTGGAAGGGTTCAGGGGTTCAGGGTTAAGGGTTAGGGTTCAGTGGTTCAGGGTGAAGGGTTTAGGGGTTTCGGATCTAGAGTTAGCAACTAGTGATGCAAAAATTGAAGAGGATACAGAGACTACTATATAGGGATGCATAGGGATATATGGGGAAGTGTAGGGGTGGAGATTCTAGGCGTTATATGGAGCCATAGAGAAATACCAATATTACTTTAGTAATGGAGAGTCAGAAATACAATGGAAACTGAGTCTACAACGCAGGTATATAGTTTGACTTAGACAGGCTGTATGGAATTGCGACCGTTTCTTCAACCTCTGATAGCTTTTCGGGGGAAGGCATGCAAAATGAACCACAGATGTATACAAAGTCTAGATCAAGATGTAGCCCCTGCACCCTTAACCCCATCCCTATTATTTGTGTCCTTGGACCCTTGGGGCACTGTACTTACTAATAATGTCTGCGGCCTGACTCTACCCACCTTTGAAGAAGATGGAATCTGACTCTGTTAAGCAAAGTCCCGAGGAATACCCGCATAAAAACGCACATGCCATCTGGAACATAAAGAGCATGCAAACCACGACTTTCTGGCATCGCACGCCTGGAAACTTAGTTACAATCGCCACAAGGCGCTTCTAAACCCTAAACCCTGAGTAGTAGCTTCCATGTTCTTTTCCACTATCCCAATATAACTCCGATAACCCCTATATCTACTCAAGGGGGACTATAAACCTTTGTATGCCAAACCGGCGAACAAGCTGACTTGGGATCCTCCGGAAGCTGCCTTATCCTCTTGCTTGCCGGTGGCTATAGAAAGTCGTGAACGCAGAATGGGCTCTCTACAGTCATCCCTTTCTAGCCACCAGCACTGCTTACTGTATTCTATTCCTTCCTTGCCCGCCATCTAATCTAGCTGTGGAATTGAACAGAACGAATTGCGAAATCCCCCAAACTAAACACACTCCACGGGTGTGTGCAGTGCGTGCTGCACACTTTGAGGAACCTCGCTAGTATATGTCATGCTCCTCAGCCTTTTACAGGCCAGAAAGTTGCCCAAGGAACTGGAGAGATATAGTCCCCCTTAAGTAGATAGAATCTAGGGTATATGGGGATCTTACTATAATATACCCAAAGCCCTATTCTATCTACTTAAGGGAGACTATAGAAGCAGCAGCAGTCATCCAGTCTTTATCCTTTGAGCCTTCGGGCCTTAGCCTTCGGGCCTTTACTGTCGGGAAGTCTTACGCTCAATAAGAGGCTTGTTGCAATCCCATCCAATCAGGGGCCCCACTAGTTTGTGTAAGAGTCGCATGGTAGCCGTGCGGTCCTCACTAGAGGTTGGGGCAACCCAATTGCCTGATTTCCAAATCCCCATCTATCCCCTACGTTTTCCAGGTTTTCAGTTTTAGTTTTCCATTTGATCATCCATATTGCGGGTAACCCAACTCCCCTAAACCCTTAAACCCTTAGACCCTTTAAACCCCAAACAGGTATCTACTGACCCTTAGGGTGAGCTGGGTGGCCTCGGATACCACTTCCTTCGGAGCCACACGCTCCGCTGGGGCGATGGAACGATCCCTCAGCCAGCCTCACCACTGCCACAGCAGAGCGACGGGGTTTAGTGTCTCAGGGTTCAGGGTTTGGGGTTATATTGATCTTGGAGCTTAGAGTTCGGAAACCCCAAATCTGATAGTCTTTTGGGTCCAGTATGGAGTTGGAGATGATTGGATTGTCTCGAAATGGAGTGAGAAACAGCAACTTTCAAGCTGATGGAAACTACTATAGTACATTAGGGGTCCCTTTGAAGGGGTTATATCGAGTTATAAGTTATATTGGGATAATGGAGAAGAAAATGGAAACTGCTAAAATGGAGTGGATTCTAGGTCTCGATTTTGGGGTTCGCAGCTTCGAGGGGAAACAACAGCTCCAGGCTAACAATTTGACGTGCCCACGGACTGCAAGTGCTGAGACAACATGCATGCTGGGAGATTCCAGAGAGAGTGCCTGAATATCGGGCCTACTTGATGCTTCTGACTTGTAAATCCTCATCGTGAACTCGAAGCCTACACCCTCAAATCTCGAAATCCGAAACCCCAACATCCTCAATCCCTGAAACCTGAGAGGCTTACATCCTACAACTTCCATCGCCAGCAGTTCATAAGATGGCGACCATCGTGCTGACCCAACCGTAGACACAATCACCCATACTTACCCCCACCTCCACCCTACCGCACTACGGATAATCCTGTGCTGATCTAGGATGTAGGTCTGTGGGTAAAGAATCTAGACGGCAACTCTACTAAAGCCCACTTCCAGCTAAGACAAAGCAAGATTTACACAATGGAGCAGCCTCCATATTGAGGCCAGCTGCACTCCCGCAAACTAACATGCAACGGGCTAAGTGTTTCAAAAGGGGGGATGAATCCCAATCATATTGTATTGTCATGAGAAGGTTATGAGACGATGATGTTGGTAATCATTCAGGCTTTTAAAGACATACCAAAAGCAGCCCTTTGAAGTGTACGGCCCCCTGCAGTAAGCATAGGCCTACACGGGATCCCATGTCAGTTCAGGGGAGTGTATTGCGTTGGGAGCAAGCAGGCTTTTTGTCCTGGGCCCTGCCACTGCGAAGCCTTTGCGCGAGAGGGGGCCTAGTAGGGCAGGGGGACATTGCAAAGCTGCTCAGATCATCTGACGTCCCTATAGGACCTAACCCCTGACCGCATCTAGCAGGTCCAAATATCCCTCTATTATCATGTTTCACAAAGGCCTTATAATTTCGGGCTGCGCAGAAGTATACCCTAGGGATCCAAGTATACAAATATTACCTACATTGGGCCCAAAAGTCTGTAAATATCACCTACATTGAGCTATTTGGATCCCTAGGGCATATTCCACAAAAGCCTTACAATTTCGGGCTGCGCAGAGTTATAGGATAGGGTTCACAGCTCAGAATCTGTTAAGTGCATGCGGCCCTGGGACTTGCAAGCTTTCGACGGTGAATTCCAAGTTCGGCGACCACCCCCAAAACCCTCCAAAACCCAAGCCCCACACACCAAACCTTAGACCCCACACCGTTTAAATTGTTGAGGGAGGGTAGGGGAAGTGTGGGGAGCCATGCTTTGGATATAGCAGTCCTCCATGCCACAACTGCAGTAATACCAAATCCCTACATACCTCCCCGCCAAGATGCTAACTTCATGGCTTCCCCCCCAAAAATCGCACGTAATCTCTGAAGGCCCCTTATAAAGTGTGAGGACTGTACCTAAGCTGTGGTGCATCCGAGTGGCCCAGCCGTCCTCCAAAAACAAAGCCGACACCCAGAAATGTCGCGAAGACCGCTACCTGCGCGATGTTGCCGCCGGTGAGTGGGCTTAGGGCTTAAGGTTTAGGGTATATGGTCTAGAGTGGTTTAGAGTGTAGGAGCACAGGGACGAGGGGTTTGGGAAGCCTTGCGGTTTACAGGCTTGGGCGTTGAAAGCGTTGGGAGTTTGTTCTTTGCGGAGGGGTAGATGCTTTTGATCACAAATCTATGTGTAGGCTTGGGGAGTAAAGAGGTTGAGACTTCAAAGGATGACCCACTCACCTCCTAAAGTAACACCCCCCCCCCTTCCCCTAATTATATGCATGTATATGTCCCCCTAATATATAACAGTTGTATATTGACGGGTTTGTTATTAGGAAGTGGGGGTTTATTATCAAGCGGAGGGGATTACTTGTCCTCTGATGAAAGCAGATAAGCATTACTTTGACTATACAGCCTTTGGAAAGATCCAATATGGGGATGGCATTGCTCGTTATACTTCTTGTGGCGGTTAATGGAAGGGTAAGCGGGAAACATCCCAAGAGATTGTAGTTTCCCAAAATTGGGAGAACCCCAAATAGACCCCAAAATACTGTAGTTCTTATTCTAGTGACCCCCAATAGGTACCCCCCCCATTCTTTGGGGGCACGAGATTGAAATTCTATGGCGACTATATAGGGATTAAAGGCGACAACAATTACAAATTGTTTTCAAACCTACCCCTGGTAAGTAGGTTCTAACTGCCAGACCCAAAAGCGTGCAGGTATCTCTCTCCTCCAAGCATGCTTGTGTCAAGCAGAGTGTCCAAGTTTCTCGCCACTGGGGCGTTGTTCCAGCAAAACCACAAAATGCTAAACCCTAATCTCTGAACCCTTAAACCCTAAACCCTAAAACCCTAAACCGATTTTGAGCTACATACTAAACCTTCATGCCGGACTCTACAAGCAATTGCTCACATAGCGTGTCCAATCTGGTAGCTAAAGCTGGGGCTCAGGACAAAGCTTGAGGTCCCCATGAATAAGATACTGTAACATAATATATTATCGTTGAATATACTGTATACATTATACTGTAATAAACTATATAACATAATATATTATAGTGTAGTGTAGGATTCGGGTTCAGGTCCGGTCTGAATCAGGGTCAACGGCTTGGGCAGGGCTTAGGGTTTGAGGTGTGGGGCTTCGGGTAGAAGGATTATAGGTGCCGGGCTTATAGGTCTGGGATTAAGGCTAGGGGTTAAGGGATTGTGGTTTTGGGCTTAGGGATTTCGGTTGAGGGTGTAGGGCTTCGGGTTTAGGGTTCAAGGTTCTCTCAGCTAGATAGTCTGCTTTTAGTTTTTTTTCGCCAAGCCTTGTTCCCGCTAATGGAGACACTGGCTGGGAGAGAGGGAAGAAGTACCGGTTCACATGCCTTTTCTGTCTCCTGTTGAGCAAGGCTCGTTCGGGAATAGAATGCTGCCATATACTGACCAACTGCAGCAATGCCGACGTCCACCTTCATCTCCCCCTTGCAACCCTGATTTTGGCAATCTCAGCCACTCGCGCCTGTTCTCAATTGAGACTTCGCACTTCTGTGCCATGAATTAGGCTAAAGCATTTCAACACACCAGGTGATTTGATAAAAGACTTGAGGGTTCATGGGTAACTATCAGCGGGGTTGTGCCTTCCTGAACTCAAATTTTAACTAGCCTCGCTATATCCCAAGTCGGTCCATGACTGGATGATTTGTTCATAGCTCTGCAAAAGGGTAAAAAATAGGAGTGCTGTAGATTCTCATTAAGCACAACCATCAAAGGCTTGCAAGCCACAGTATAATCCCTGTTTCCATGTCATTTTCCCTGTTCCATCTGATTCTCCGTTATTGAGGGATAACATACCTAAACCCGAAGATGCCACAGCTCATCTCGCTCTCTGTACACAGCAGCCTGACCAACCACCAAGAAATCGTCTACCCGGGGTTATCCCACGTGCTGAATACACCCTAAACCCTAAACCCTAAACCCTAAAACCCTAAAACCCTAAAACCCTAAACCCTAAACCCTAAAACCCTAAAACCCTAAACCCTAAACCTTAAACCCCTCAGACATCAACCAGCGGCCTGGAAAGGTAGATTTACCGTAATCCCACCAGGATCTCACAGGGACATCTTTAGAAATTATGCATGGCTTCTGCGTTAGCTCTTTCCACTGCCTGCTGGGAACCCCATCATCCTCTTGGACAACTCAACATTATAGAATAATAGGCTGTATTAGAGTACATTATAGTATCAAAGCAGCTACACCAAATCATAAATGCTAAGAATGCTCTTCCGCCAAGGAGCAAGCTTCACAGAGAATGGTATTCGCACATGGTGTGGCGCATCATGGAGACCTCATTTGGGGGCTCCAGAAATTTGAGGGAGGTTTGAAGTTTGAAAGACACTGACAATACTTCCTGGGCTGCAACAAGCCTGGCATTTTTGTTGTAAGACGGCCATTGCAAAGTTCTGTATAGGAATTTTGATTTGAAAAAAAATAGCCTGTCAGATGAGGGCACGGGCCCGGAAGGAAACAACGCAAGCTGTCTCACGGAACTCTATCTGGTAGCTTCCCAAAACAGGGGGATCCCAATATAGACCCCTAAATACTACAATCCTTACTATGGGGACCCCCAAAAAGGTACCCCTAATTTTGGGAAGCCCCTATATCTAGCCTCAAGCCTAGACCCTGGCCATCCGCTTTCATATTAGAGCTACAGACAATTTACCCAAAGGATTCTTGACAGTAGCTTATGGACACCAGCACAGTTTAACCGTGCTGCAGGGACCAATAAAAAGGCATCCCCGATGCTTTCAAACTAGGTGGACGGATTGCGAAACACTTGCGGCTTCTGATCGGTGATTATGTGTTAAGGGACTACATCGGATGATACCGGTGGTTGTAACCTGGGCCTAAACCCTGAACCCCGTAAAATCGTCCTTGCACGAGACGCCTTGAGTCGTCGATGGCCGCACCAAAGGTTCATCCTGGCTTGCAAGCACTCCTTATTAACGGTGCAGGGTTTAGGGTTTAGCGTTCCTCAGAGGCCTATCACTTAAAAGCTTTACATCATATTCCTTGTTGGCATGTTCCTGGCATACCTATTTCCATACCTTACTGGAAGCGGAATGAAATCCAAATTATGTACCGCAATCTCGATATTACATGTTCCTTGCTGGGATGGCATACTAAGCTATAATATATATTCCTTATTGTATCAATATCACACAATTGAAAGATCATGTCCAACCGTGACCCAGTTCAGGGTGGTGTTGGGGTCAGTGCTTGGGGGATTCCGTCCCCTCCGACAAGAAAACCACTGTGAGGAACGGCTCCGTTAGAGTAGCTGAATAAACCCGAAGGATCCAAATAGCACAATGTAGGCAACATTCACAGACGTTAGGGCCCAATGTAGGTTTTATTCATATACTTGGATCCCTAGGGAAAAGACGTTGAACACATATTGCACTAGGATGAGCACGCCATGGTGCCTCCATACCTGGCTGATGTGCTGCGATATCGTGGCTGTGGTCTCTAAACCCTAAACCCTAAACCCTAAATCCTAAACCCTAAACCCTAAAGACCGTTGGGCTTTGCGACTTGGAGCCCAGCGCCGGCCTCTGACTGCTTAAATTGGTGATTGTTTGGGTACTGCCCCCACCCAGTAACAGTCTATATTAGGGGTCCTATTAAGGGTTATATATAACCATATTAGAAATATTATCCAACTGTTACTGAGTGGGGGCAGTACCCAAGTGATTGTCACCAAGTCTAGAATCAGAGACCCTCCTTCTACCCTCTCTATTTACAATGCGCTGAGTACCCAATATTCGGGGCCAATATACCCTCTGGGAGGGTCTTGGATATGAGAACAACCAGAAACTAAACACCTCCCTTAATTAATACTATCAACAAACTCCCTGATACTAAGTATTGCCATTGCGGTATCCTATGATAGAACGAGAATATTTGAATTCAGGGTGTGGGAATTTGTTTCATATTGGGGGAAGGGGATTCGAACAAGAGCGGCAAGGATGCTGAACCACGGCTTCCCGTTGATTGTTGTTTCTGGAACTATATAAGTCTATGCGATAGCCTGCATAAGTTGGGGGACCCCCATAAAGAAAAAAGACCCCCAAAAGCTCCCATCGTCATAGGAGCCCCCAAACAGGTACGCCTAATCTTGCAACATTGGGGCCCTGAGGACCTGGGAATTCATAGGCATTTACAAACGGAGTTTGAGAGGTCCTTGGCTTCTGTTGATAAACTCCCTCATCTCAGAAAGCTTCAAAATGCAACCCAGACAGGCATTCGTCAGAACCAGGAGACTGCCCATACTCTGCAAAACGCGGCTTAAGGTTAGGGTTCAGGGTTTAGGGCTTACACATAATTAATGGAAAGCCCAAAAGAGAACCAGAAAACCCTACAAGAACCCGCAACCGAGCTAGGGCGCTGCTACAGGGGCTACCCCTCCAGGTGTTAGGGTACGGGTAAGGTAACCCTAAACCCTGAACCTCCCTAAGCAAGCATTGAACCAACATGACCTGAAGCGGCTGCATGGTATACATGGCAAAGACATGGGATTCTACTGGGCATGCCTGAGGGACTGTTTGAAGTGTGATGTGTCTGTAACCGCGTCAAGCAATCTAAGAAAGCCCAGCATTCATAAACACCCTTTTCGAAGGACGGTCGCCTTGGTTGGGACACTTTTTCAGGCTTCAGGTTTGTTTGTGAGTGCGGCAGGATCCAAAGACAGCAAGAACTGAACATCCCGAGCAAACCAACTCCAAAACCTTCAGCTCCTAAAGCCCAAGCCCTCGTTCAAAACAAACTGTCCCCTCTGCCCGGGGCCATTTGAGGAAGTTCACGGTCACACCTGCAAAGCCCCCCAAAATCCCGTATATCCTAGCCCCGCTAACCCTGAACCCCTTGTATGGGCGGGCCTTTATACTTAGGGTATTGCAAGTTATAACGATACCAGGAACAGAAGTGGACGATTTATAGCTCGTGAGTGGGATCCTATGTGGTTCAAGATTCCCTCCACCAGCCCTCATCTCCACAACCCTAAAGCCTGACCCTTATACCCTAAACCCCTAAACCCCTAGACCCTAAACCCGTAAACCCTAAACGCTAAGCCCTAAACCCTAACCTTTAAACCCTAAAGCCTCGGTTTGGCTTCTCACCGAGCTCGTCAGCGAGCGCGCCGAGGCGCTGCCGCTTGGCGATGGCATGGCTCGCAAATGGCTAAGTTAGGGGTTCAAAGGACTATGGCGAGATCAGCTCTAGAGACATCATCACCCCTGTGTAACCCCAAGAATAACCCCAATAACACCCGTATAACCCGTATAATAACCCGTGTAACGCTCCCTTGACGGCAAGCTAGACATGTAAGGGTCAGTCGCGACGCTGCGAGTATGTTGAGTTTCGCTTGCTGCCAATCACCAGCCTCCGAAAATAATCGACCCGTTCCCCCCAATGTTTTAAACGTCGTTTAAAATCACAAGAGCATGGCCTGCATGTAAGGCGGGCGATGGACGGGGCTACGGCTAAGGCGACTAAGGAGTAAGCCTCCATTTCCCATGACTGGGCTGCTGCTAAGTAGCCTGAAATTAAGTTACCATGATACGGGTACGTAGTAAATGACAGAGTTTCCTTAGAATAGGAAGTTTTGAAGTCCCTTAACAGCATTTCAGATGAAGGCTTGCAATTCCGATCCAGCAGCATCCATGGCGCGACCACTAAGCAAGATAGCGGAACTTCGGCAGTCGTGTCTGGGAAGCTAACATTTGTGTTTCTGAGAATAGCAGGAAAACCGCACTGTATGTAAGGAACAACTGTATGGGATCCTCCTCCAAGAGGCAAAGCAGGGCATGTAGTCAGGGGCTCATACACTTTTGTGCAAGAGCCTGCAATAGCTAGGACAAATCCGAGTCCCAGGTAAGTATGCCAACGCCGCCATCCTTACGCCACATCCCGTCATGTGATTTTTCAGGCCGCTTCAGACGCGGGGGCACCGTTCCTGCTTTGTACAAGAAATTTGAAAAAAATGTTTCCTGATCCCTTGGGAGCACAAATTCATCAACATATGACGGGTGTATAGCCCCTGTACACTCAAAAACGCAGTCGAGTGCTCAAAGCAACAATCATTTCTACTCAGACTCCGGCTCCAACAGAAAATTTCAATACAGACAATCGCCAACGTGACTGCGAAGCTTGCATCCTTGGCACTGGACTTTTTTTTTCGGGGGCTAAGATTCGGCTTCGACCTGTGAAGGCCCTAGACTAAATGGCTTAAGGTTTAAATGGGGTTTAGGGTTCAGGATTTAGGGTTGCGTCTTGCCTAGGCCTGCCAGTGCAGCAGCTACAAATTTTGAGGGGAAGTCCTAAGAAACACATGACCAGAAACACAGGAGAAAGAGCAAACGCCCAAAGCAATTACATACTCTATTGCGTCACTTCCGGGGAAAGGGCTTCTACGCTTGGGGGCTTTGAACCCAATGACGACGTTCGACCCCGGGCTTCGGCGAACTACGTGTGCTCGACTTGCTGGTGCCTCGGGGGCGATGGGGAAGGGGATCCCCACATACTACCCCCTTTAGTAGGCCCCATATACACCCCTATTGTCACGTCCATATTCGCGCCTCCACTCCCCCTTGAACAGCAGTAGTTCATGGTTCAGCGACTGAAGTCCAATTACAGGACAAGAGTTGCCCATATGGTTAGTTTATCTTGGTTGACCTTTAGAGACCCTGTAAAAATATTAGTATAAATGGGTCCCTATAAAGCCGATAAGGGAACATATTTAAGGAGCCCAAAGGCCTACCTATTGTTATAGAACGGATATATACGGGCAATTATAGGGACACTGGGATCAATTCACAGGTGTATAGGTGGGCATACAGAAACCCATACATTTACATGGTAATTCTCCCTTGTACTTGCCTTAGATTAGCTCAGGATGAAGTTCCTGACCCTTGCATGTAACTGACACTTCTAGTCCCATAAGTACAAATAGAAGACACAGGTTAGAAACCTACCGTGAGGTTACACTTTCCTGCTTGGCCGGTTGTTAGAAACATGCACGGCGAGAGCAGCATCTAGTTATGCTTGTCTTGACTTTGCAAGACAGTGAGGAGACGCTTCCACAGCTTGAGCCCTTTCGCGGTTGAAAGTTGCGTGTCTGAGGCTTGCAGGACGGGATTGGAGTACAGTGGACAAACAAGCCGTATCGCGATGCTGCAGGGGCAGCCGCAGGTGCTAATTGTATCGCGAAAGTAACAAAACTCAAACCGTGATGTTGAGCAGACTGCTGCAGGAATGAGACGCAGGGAAACCATCGCGAGTTTTGCAAGTATCCTGCGGAAGTCTCTGACCTATATCCGATGTGTCGATCATGGTCCTCCGTATTCCCTCTCCAAATGTCTGTATAGCATATTCCCCGAAAGCCACTACCCCACAACTTGCATCATGGCGGCTATGGCCCCGTATTTGTTTGACACCGGAGCTTCCCAAAATTCGGGGTACCTTGTTGGGGGTCCCAATAATAAGGATTATAATATTTTGGGGTCCATATTGGGGTCCCCTATTTTGGGAATCGACCATATCGGAGTTCTCCATGAACAGCCCCAAGAACAAGGCTGCTCCTTCATAACTTGTCGGCTGTTATACAATTGCCTCAACCACAGTTCCTTAGCAACACATGTGCGATAACAGCAGCACAAATATGGTGATGCGCACGTACCAACTCGGGAAGATCCCCATGTATTGGAAGCACATGTTTGAGAGAGCCTAGTTCCGGAAAAAAGCTCTCCGGAGGTGGAAGAAAGAGGGCTTGACAAAAAAGCTTCACGGGTAGAACAAAACCGGGCCTGTTAGCGAAGGCTTGATTACACTCACAGGCTTTGCCCCGGTAGGGCGAATCTAGGTTCTGGCCAGTTGATTTCACAAAGGGTTTAGGGTTTAGGGTTTATGGTCTCTCATATTTGCCATTGTGGACAACACTAATGTTTCGTAACATGCCTACCTAGGTCTACGGGCTAAACTCAGGTTGGAGGGGACCTATAGGGGACTATATGAGGATTTGGGGGGGATGTATTAAGGGATATACTATAATTTTAGCCCAGGGCTCACCTAGGTCTACACTGCTCCTGAACAGCTTTTCAGATTTCACGGGGCAGCACAAGCTGCGCTTGACCCTCCAGGCCTAGAGGTCTCAGAATCCGAGCCGGCACCCTGAGCCCTTAACTCCTACCATTTGACGTGAGCATTTGTCTAAACTCCTAGTATCCTCCTGACCTATAGTAGTCCCCTATAAATTCCCCTATATAAGCACCCAGTAAGGAGTTTAGACTATAGCTCACATGTCGAGGTTTTGGACAAACCCAAACTCGAAACCCCCATCTTACTCACTTATGTTGTGCCACCAGGGACACAGGATCCTGTTTGCAGCTGCATTATAGAACCTAAACCACCAAAAACCTGCAAAGGATCCTTATGGGATTCTAAAAACCCTATAAACCCCAAGTCCGTGAACATGGGGTTTAGCGTTCAGGGTTAAGTGGCTACGAATATTCCCCATACAATCCAAGCACTGGTACATTGCAGTGGAATATCACCGCAAACCTAAGCCCAGCTGCCATTTGATGTGCTTGGGCTTGAATAAGGGTTTGGGGGGATTCCTACTTGTGTGGCCCCAAAACCCAAAACCCTACCCCCCAGCCGACAAGAAGCAAGCCTCGGTAGGAGCCTCGGTAAGCCAACGAAGCCTTCGGCTCCAGATTGGGCGGGAAACATGCTTACGGCTGTCTGATTAGGGTTCAGGGATTATGGGGTTTGTTTAGGGTTTCAGGTTAGGCAATAGGGTTCAGGGCCTTAGCAAACATCCAGACTCATGCCTACGGAGCTCAGAGGGAGTTTTCGGTTGCAGGCTTGTAGAATTGAGGAGGTTCAGCTTGCTAAGCTTAGGATGCGATGCTCTAAACCCGAATGTCTGGAATTCTGAGGCTTGGACATTGAAGTTCGACCCTAAATTCTAGTAGTTTCCATTTTCTCGTCCAAAATCCCGAAATAAGACACCAAAAAAACCCAAATTTGACATAGTAGTTTCCATTTTATTTTCCATTGTCCCTATATGTATATAACCCCAATATACTACAGTAGTTTCCATGAAGCTTGAAGTTTTTATGGTTTGTCGTAAGGTACGCGGCTTGCGTTTTGGGAAGTTGAGGTTTAGGGTTTAGGTTCAGGAGACTTGAGATTTTGGGCATGGCGTTTGACTCAATGTTCGGGCCTGCACCAACCAGGGTGTCCAGGCAAGGTTGCAATCCTCAGCATCATAGTATGGGTCCTCCCTCCCTCAAATTGCAGAAGGAGTTCTAGAAGTCCTTTAGGTTTCAGATTTGCCCTAAATCACGAACCATAGCGCGAGCCTCAAGACTGAGAGCAAGGAACCGTATCTTGGCATGAAAAATGGGCTTAGGATTTAGGGATATGAGGAATAAATCAAGTAAGGAAGCACTTGCTAAGTCACAAGCTCGAAAGTCCTGACACCTTGTTGAACGATGCAATGCCCTTTAAGAAGACATCCTACGCCCAAAGCTATGTGGGCGATAGTCTAAACTCCTAGTATCCCCCTTCATAAGACCTATAGTAGTCCCCTATAAATTCCCCTATATCACCCCCGTTTAAGGAGTTTAGACTCATCTAAACCGACCCCCAAAACCCCTGGGCGCCCGACAGCATCCCCTGCAGCTTGCCCTGCCCCTGTACAACCGGCACGTGGCCTGCAAGGTTGGGCAGCGGAGACCTACCCCCTGATATTAAACCCCTCCCCCTAATATAACCTGGAAGCTAGTCTATCATATAGGGTTATGTACGGGATATATTGGAAGAATGGAAAATATAATGGAAACTA